GTGATCATGCTGCAATCTGTTCTCAATTTCTCCATCCCTTCAGGCTTTGGAGCATGCATGCATACACACCCAACATATTTATCAAGATGCCAGGGTTGGGATTCAATCCAAGGTTAGCCAGAGCCAGCTAGGTGGTATGATGGTTAAGGCAGCTAGATCTTACATGGCTGAGTGTGTGGTTTGAGTCCCAGACTCACAAGCTAGAAAAACATGTGAGTATGTGTGTGCCCCAAATCCTGAAAGAATAGAGAAGGGATTGTGGTGTGGTCATCCCCTCCAAGGGGTGCTTTATCACCCTCTCTACATCTCTCTCTGGTAAGCATACATGCCCTATAGCAAAATGTTAAAAATAAATAAACAAACAAACCAACATCAGCCATATGGGAACTAACTCCCTTAACTACTGTACTATCAGACCATCCTTCAAAAGTGTTTCAAATAAGCCAAAAAAATAGCAAATAATCAGGCCAGCCAGTGGTAGTTAAGACAGCTAGCTCCCACATGGCTGACTGTGCAGTTAAAGTCCAAGACCCAGCAGCTTAAAAAACACACCTGCTGTGTATGCGTGCATGTCCAGAATCCCAAGAGGAGAACGGGGATGAGATTTCATTGTGGTCATCCTCCCGGGGGTGTGTGGGGGTACTTTCTCACTCTCTTTCTCTCACTCTTCCCAGCAAGTAAATGTGTCCAATAGCAAAATTTCAAAAATAATAATAATAGGGCCAGCAGATGGCATGGAGGTTAAGATACTGGATCCCACATGACTGACTACACAGTTTGAGTCTCGGAGCAACAGCTTGAAAATCACACCAGGAGCATGTGCATGCATACTCAAAATCCAGAGAGGAAAATGGAGAAGAGACTGCGGTATGGCCATCCCCCTGAGGGAGAAGTGATTTCTCATTTTCCCTCTCTGTCTCTCTCTGGTGAGCACATGAATGCTATGACAAAAAACTGAAAACAAAAAGAGAGAAAAAAAAATAAAGATGAGGCCAGGTGCTGTGGTAACACAACACTCCAGGGACCATGTGAAAGACTGGGGTTTGATTCCTGAGGGGGGAATACATACCCAGCAAGTGCCTAAAATCCTGACAGGGAAGGGGTAAGGAGGGGATCACAGCTGAGACCCTGTCGAGGATGCTTGTTTCTCTCTTGCTCATGTAAGAAAATAAATAAAGTTTTCAAAAAAGGTAGAGCCAGCTGCTGTGGTGCAGCAGTGACACAAGTGCCCTGCAAGGCTGACACATGGCCAATCACAAGTATGGATCCCTGGGTGGGCTTCAAAACATGCTGTGTGCACACATGCAGGCACCTAGGATCCTGGGGAACTTAAGGGGGAAAGGAGATTGCAGCATGACAAGACCCTGCCCAGGATGTTACCCCCACCACGCCTCCTTTCTCACACATTTGTGCACATGCACTCTTGATCATTAAAAAAAAAAGGGGGGGGGGGGAGAAAAGCAATCACTAATAGGAGTGCTCAGTAATCATGTATTAAGACCTTCCCAAAGAAGTAGTATTTTCATTATCCTCATTTTTCATACATAGAGAAACTAAGGTTTAGGAAGATAAAGTCATTTATTACCAGAATCAGTCAGATAAATTGAGTCCTGACACAGTCCATGGCTTGACTACAGAGAATAATGCTACAAGGCTATAGGCATGAGAGTAAGAGTACTTAGCTAGAGTGAAGAGTCCAAGAGTCAAAGAGAGCAAGAGCTGGTGGTGTGGTGGTGAAGGCAGCTGGATCCCACATGGTCAAATGGTTCAAGTCCCAGACATACAGGCTTGAGAAACATGCCCGATATGTGTGTGTACATGCCCAAAGTCCCAAAAAGGAGAAATGGAGAAGAGATTAAGCTGTGACCACCCTTGGGGGGGTGGGGCTCTTCATTTTCTTCCTCCTCTCAAATCTCCATGAACACACATGCCTTTTAGCAAATTACCCAAACAAACAAAAAGAATTAGAAGAAGAAAAGAAGAGATGAATAACAATGGTAATACATCTGAATGCCAGAGAAAGCACAGGAATTACTTAGCTATTAACTATAGGAATTATGTAGCTCTAAAGCAAGAGAAAGACCCAGTCCCTCAAACAGGTGGTTGAGGGAACAGGATCCCACATGGCTAGCCACACAATTTGAGTCCTGGCTCTAGAGGCTTGAAGAACACACTGTCTACAGGTGTGTGTGCCCCAAATCCTGAAAGGATAAAGAAATGAAAGAGAAGGGATTGTGGCAATGACTACACGCCATTGGAGGTTATTTTTCTTTCCCTTCCCTGCCCTCTTTCTCTTCCTCTTTTCCCTGGCAAGTGCACACACCCTCTGGCAAATTTAGAAAATAAAAAATAGGGGCCGGCAAATAGCATGGTGGTTAAAGGTGCTAGATTCCCACATGGCTGACCATAGTTCAAGTCCCAGACCTGGAACCTTTCTTTCTCTCTCTCTCTCTCTCTCTCTTTCTCTGGTCAAATTAAAAAATAATAACAAATGGAATTAAATAAATATTTAAATATACATATTTTTATGTATGTATATATATATATGTGTATGTATAGTTTGTATATATATGTGTGTGTGTGTGTTGTGTGTGTGTGTGTGTGTATACACACACACACACACACACATATATAGCAGGAGAAAGATGTATGTAATAAATTAAGTAATGAATCTCAACAAGTATAACAAGGATACAATCAAAAGACTATTTCAGTTTCTAGGTACGAGCATCTAGGAGCTTAAGACGGTTTTGTATAACCAAGTAAAAATCCGCAGACACTAAAAAGGAAATCAGGGCAATTTGGTGCTGTGATGGTAAAGGCAGCTGGATCTCACATGGCCAACTGAGCAGTTCGAGTCCCAGACCTAATGTTTCAAAAAGCATACCAGGTGCATGTGCATGCGTGCCTAAGATCCCAAGAGGAGAATAGAGGAGAAAGTATGATGGTATGGGGGTGCTTTCTCACTTCTCTTCTCTCTGTGTATCGCTTTTTATAATAACGTGCACCCTATAGCAAACTGGAAAAAGGGGGGGGAGGAGAATCAGTAAGAGTTGCTTGTTGTGTTCTACACAGACATATGATGTGGAAATCATATGAGGTTTGTGGGGACCATGCCTGGTTTTAGATAGCTGAGAAAAAACTGGCAACTGGGGCCAACAGGGGGCATGGTGGCTGAGGCTCTGGACTCCCACATGGCAGACCATGGTTCAAGGCCCAGACCTGGTGGTTTGCTTTCTCATTTTCCCTCTCTCTCTCACCCTGTGTCTCTCTCTGGTCAGATTAAAGATTAAGACTGCTTCTATTGGGGCTGGCAGGTGATGTGGTGGTTAAGAGTGCTGGAATCCCACATGGTCAACCGTGGTTCGAGTCCTGGACCTGGTGGCTTGCTTTCTCACTTTCTCTCTTTCTCTCTCTCACTCTGCCCCTCTATGATCAAATTAAAATAAAAAAATAAAGTTAAATACAATAATACTTAAAAAAAAATTTAAAAAAAAGACTGCTTCTGTCGCAACCAGCATTTTCTTTCACACTCTGACCACATCTAGATGCCTTAGGATATAACCTGGGGTTCCTGAAGCCCTTTGGAAGAGACTCCCCCAATTCTGGTAAACTATGGACACCAAAGTGCAGAAGGCAGATAATGTCCTCTTCTCCTGCCACAAACCCTATGGAAGACATGTATATTCCTGAACCTCAAAACAATCCAATCATCCTCACAAACATAAGCCAGGGCAGAGCCCAGGCAGAGGTTATCAGGACTCATCCCGAGCCCATTCTTTCCAAAGTCTACATTTGCAGAGGAAGCATTATCATATCCAACAGCTACCTGTTCTCACATCTAGATGACAAATGCTGCATGGCTATCCAGGTAGCACCACGAGGACCCAAGGCCATGGTGGGAGCATCTAAGAGATGCTTCTGTAAGAGTTCAAGCCTAGTCAGAGACCAAAAGGGGCCATGCAAGGCTGAAGCTGTTTAGCAGTATTGGGCTGGAGCACTGGCTTAGTTCAGTCACAACTCTAGCCACACCTGCTTCTGAAGGGTGCACAGGTCACAGGAGCATCAATTCACACAGCTCTCCTCTGAATTTGCATTTTACCCCCCTTTAACTAAATTCAAACACTACTCTAGGAGAACTTTCCAAAAGAATCCCAGACCACCTGATCTTTTACTTTTCCTTCAAAACATGTTTATAAGTAGTCCAATTATTATTTGTTTGCTCTATACCAATGATACAGTAAATTCTTACGTTCTTTAGCTATTTACCTACCCAAGTCTCATAAGACAAAGATGATCATCTCTGGGATATTTCTCCCTTTTCCCACAGGCCTGATAAAATAAGCATGGACTTTTTTTGTTCTTATTTTTAAGACAGGGTCTCACTCTGTTGCAATTCTCCTGCCTAAGCTTCCTGGGTAGATATTTTTACAATCTTAGTATAAAATACTATTTCTACAAGTCATGCTGAAGTAAACAATCAGTGTATATCTAAATAAGTTATCATAAAACCTGAAAGTAATTCAAGGCAAAGACAACTTCTTCTTAATACCAATTCAATTAAATGAAGTACATTATTTGAGTTTAATATTTAAAACATATATATATCTGGGACCAGCAGAAGGCATAATGGTTACATCACTGGACTCCCATGTGGTTGACCACAGTTCAAGTCCTGGACCCAGCAACTTAAAACTCATGCCGGGTGCAGGTGCATGCATGCCCAAGATCCCATGAGAAGATGGAGAAGGGACTGTGGTGTGGCCATCAGATTTCTCACTTTTTGTCTCTCTGGGAAGTGCATGCACCCACCCTAAAGCAAAAATCTCTGACAAAATAATAGCAATTTGTCACATCTGAATCAATCGCTAACATTAAACAAAGTTGCAAAAATGAACCACAGTAGAATTGTTTAAAAAGAGTAAGAAAGAAGCCTGGACATGAGAAAGGCTTAATGTAGAAGAGAAAGATTGAATACAGCCAAAAGATAAACACAATACCTTTAAGTTTGGTATAGTTGTGAAGGAGTGGATCAGCAGAAACCATGCAAGGCCACCAAGGATAACCCGACACTTTGGACCACACCAAATCTCCTACATTATATTTCAACAGGTGGTCTTTGTCTCTGCCAGTGTTTGGACAGGATTCTTTCTTAGCTGGAATCTGAAAATGAACAGCAAAAAACAAATGCTAACAAATGCAATAACCACCTCCAAATCTAGCCTTCTGTCCATGGGAGACCAAGGATGAATGAGGCTAGAGGTCCAAAACATAAACTCCAAAAAAAAAAGCACATTCCTCCTTCTAAGTTTTAGGTCACAGCCCAGCTGTCTGTCTTTGCCCTCAGTTTAAAGGCCAACACAGAGCCTAGCATACAGCAGGCACTCACTTACCCATTTTCATGACCCGGGAGGTGTTATTTAATTGTGCTTTGTTCAACTAGTCAAAGAGGAATTCTCACAGAATTCAGAATCCATCCTGGCCTCTGCCCCCAATCATGTTATTTCTCAGTTCTCTGGAGATAATGCTTCCCCCAACAGGAGAGGTCTCAGCAAGGTGAGAACAAAACGCATCAGGAGGGCTGGGAGCAATTCCAACTCCACCTCCTGGTTTTGGAGTCCTTGAAGATCTCTGATACTCAGTCTCAACATCTCTAGAACATGAGTGTTTTGCTTTCCAGAAGCCAGCATGACCCTGAACTCCCAAGGGTGAATCCCTCATTTCCTCCTAATAGCTCTATACGCTTGGACAAATCACTGAACTGTTCTGGGCCTCGGTTTCCTCACCAGTAAACTGAGTGTAATAGCCCTGACAGCTCACTTGCTGTGACAAAGATTCATGAGCATGTTGTTGAGGATAGCATAGAGCCACCACATCACACACTTTCAAATGATGTCAGGTCTCAGATTATTTCACACTGTCCCAGGTTTACTTTCAATGTTTCCACTCTACAGACGTAGAGTTAAAATTCAGATGATTTACCCAAGTTTTAACGAAACCGAGTGATAAATCTTGGAATATTTGATCTCTGACAATTTTCACAGATGTCTTCCCTTATAAAAGCATGAGTTTCAATAATATAACCATAGGCACATCAAAAAATCATTCTATCAGGACAGATGATAAAACCAGTCTTTTTTTTTTTCCTTTAAGAGGTTTTTGTCATAGGGCATGTTCATTTACCAGATTGAAAAAGACAGTGAGAGAAAAAGTGAGAAATCACTCCCAGGTAGATGGCCACACCACAACCCTTTCTCCTGCATTTTCCTCCTGGGATCTTGGGTATGCACACTCATGTGCACCGGTGTGATTTTTCAAGCCACCGGCTCTGGGACTCGAATTGTGGTTGGCCATGTGGAAATCCAACGACATAACCAGTACACCATCTGCTGGCCCTAAAACCACTCCTTTAAAATATCAGGACCAACAGATTGTGTAAAAGTTACATCACTGGACTCTCATGTAGCTGACTGTGGTTCGAGTCCCAGACCTGGCGGCTTAAAAAAAACACACCAGGCATGTATGCACACGTGCCCAAGATCCCAAGAGGATAACGGAGAAGGGATTGCGGCATGACCATCCCCCCAGGGGGTGATTTCTCACTTCCTCTGTCTCTCCAGCAAGTATACATGCCCAATAGCAAAAATCTCTTTAAAAATAAAAAATAAATAAAATATTAGTCATTGTAGGGGCCAGCCAGTAACACTGTAGTTGAGGCAGCGGGATCCCACATGTCTGACTGCGTGGTTTGAGTCCCAGGCCAATGGCCTGAAAATCATGCCAGGCATATGTACATACATGGCACTGATGGAGGAGCAGGGATTGTGGAGTGGCCATCTTGGGGGGTACTTTCTCACTCATTCTCCCTTTCTTTCTCTCTCTCTCTCTGGCAAGCACACACATCCATCAGTAAAATTTAAAAATAATAATAATACAAAATGTTACTCATTGTAGGATCAGCAGGTGGCATGGTGGTTAAGGTGCTGGACTCTCACAGGGCTGACTACAGTTTGAGTCCTGGACCTGGAAGCTTACTTTCTCACTTGCTCTTGCTCTCTCCCTCTCCCCTTTTCTCCTTCTCTCCCTCTCTCTCATCTCTTTCTCTGGTGAGTACATGTGTCCTATAGCAAGTTTTAAAATAGTAACAATAATAAATTAAATTAAACGAGTCTTTATAAAAATTAGTAATTGTTATTACGTTAGAGAAGCTGAACAGCCCCTGAGCACCAAAACCTTTTTTTTTAGGGGTGGGTGGTGGTGAGGGAGGCAGCCATAGAGGCCTAGTTGGTAGAGTGCCACTGTTCAATACTTGGTGCTATATGGGAAGGCCCAGGATACACACACCAGATTGACCTGAAGATGCCTGTGATCCTGGCTAGCTAGAAGGCTGAGGTGAGATTGTGGCATGGCAAGACCCTCTCAGGGGTTCTTCCTCACCTTCTTTCCCCTCTTCTCTCTCACATGTATGCATGAGAAAAATAAGCTTAAAGGGGCCAGCAGGTGATGTGGTGGTTGAGATTCCCACATGGTTGACCATGACTCAAATCCCAGACCTGGCGGCTTGCTTTCTCACTTTCTCTCTCTCTGGTAAGCATACATACCCTATAGAAATTTTTTTTTTTTTGAGAGGTTTTCGCTATAGGGCGCATGTGCTCACCAGAAAGACAGCGACAGGCAGAGAGGTAGAAAGTGAGAAATCACCCCCCAGGGGGTATGGCCACACCGCAATCCCCTGTCCTCCATTCTCCTCTTGGGATCTTGGGCACGCACGCACATGCACCCGGCGTGAGTTTAAGCCGCTGGGTCCGGGACTCGAACTGCAGTCAACTACGTGGTAGTCCAGCGACATAGCCATTATGCTAACTGCTGGTCCCCCCTATAGAAATTTTTAAAAGAGAATTATTTTATTTAACTTTATTTATTATTATTATTATTATTAATGTGATCAGAGCGAGAGAGATGGGGGACAGAAGGAGAATGCAAGCCACCAGGTCCAGGACTTAAACTGTGGTTGGCCATGTGGGAATCCAGCACCTTTATCTACCACACCACCTGCTGGCTCTGCTCTATAGCAAGTTTTTAAAAAAATAATAATAACAGGACCAGCAGATGGTGTAATGGTTATGTCACTGGACTCCCACATAGTCAATCATGGTTTGAGTCCCAGACCCGGAGGCTTGAAATTCACACAGGGTGCATGTACATGTGCCCAAGATCCCAAGAGAAGAATGGAGGAGAGGTATGGCCATCCCTCCTGGGGCACGATTTCTCATTTTCAGTCTCTCTGTCTCTCTGGCAAGCACAAACTGCTGGTCCACAAAAAAACATTTTTTAAACCCTCAAAGCTTATTATTTTAACAATTTCAAGGAAATTTCAGCCATTCCCCCATCTACCTGTAGAAACCCTAAATGACATTCCTCCACTGTTAACTAAGTATTCTAACCCTGGTAAACCAACTCACTCTGGTTTCGGGTTCCCTATCACCAGTGGAGCTGGAGCTACAATTAAAAACAGACAAGCGCCCTCTCAGCTCCAGATGAACGGGAAAGGCTACTGCACCATCCCTACTTCTTTCTGCCAAGGCCACAGTTCCCTGGCTGTTATGTATAGCTTATACTCATCTTAATGTTAAAATCATTCTGAGTTCCCAAATGTCACTTTAAAACAGTGACACAGGGACGAGCAGATGGCATAATGGTTACGTTACTAGACTCCCATGTAGTCAGTTGTGGTTCAAGTTCAGGAGCTGCCGACTTAAAACTCACACTGGGCATGTGTGTATGTCCAAGATCCCAAGAGGAGAATGGAGGAAAAGGGACTGCAGCATGGCCATCCCCTCTGGGGGTGGAGGAGGATTTCTCGCGTTCTGTCTCTCTGGCAAGCACATATACCCTGTAGCAAAAAAAAATTCTCTTTAAACACACACACACACACACACAGAGTGATATAAAACGCCCGGCAAAATGGAACACAGTAACCATACTCTTTCAAGTTAGGATTCTCCTGCCTGGTCTTTGATAAGTAAATATTCATTCAAGCATTGGAGTCTGTGCTGGGATTCAAGAATATGAAGGCATAAGACACAGCTGCAGTTCAAAAAGGCATCCATCTACTGTATCTCCTGGTCAAGGAGACAGGTAAGTGGAAGGAGAATGTGTGGGAAAGACCACGGGTACACTTCTGCCCAGCATAGCTCTGCTTTCATCTGGCGATGCAGAATTAAGTAGTCTCAACCCCAGCATGTCTGCACTGACCACAATCAGGCTAAAGGTTGTCTTGGCGGTAAGATACCTGGAAACAGTATAGCCTGAAGTTGTCAAACAAGGGCTCAGAAACTAGCATATCCAGTTGAGAAACTGGTTTTGCCTCTTTTTAGCCACTTTAATCTTAAACACTTAACATCTCTAGGCTTCCCAACTGGCTCAGCAGGCAGCTGAAAGAGGCAGAACAGCCTGATGCCCACTATGACCAGTCAGCGTCAGCCCTGGAGGCTGGGGCAAGAAGAGACAAAGTAGCTACCAGGCGTGTCCATACCTTCTCTTTTTCTGGCCATTGTACACATGGAGGCCCCCTCATGTGATTCCCGAGTTCACTGCTCACAATACCATGACCCCAGAATCCATTATTAAGTACCTTTTTATCTGAAGAATTTGAGATCTTGGACACTAGAGCTGCTTCAACGAGGCCCTGCTCTAGTAAGGAGTCGTATTTTATGCTCCTCTTCCTGTTCCTTCTTGCCTTGTTTTCTGGTTTTTGTCCATTTTCTTCTGACTGAGACACATCAGCAGCACTGTCTCCACAAATGGATGATTCAAAGAGAGGTTTCCCATTCATGTACGTTTTGGTGATTTTCAGCTTAATTTCTGGAGAGCCATTTTTGATAGGGGTAGTATTAGGTGGTGTCCCAATTCCTTTCATGTCCTGAGACTCAAAACGCAATTTGGCATCATGAGCACCAGGTTCTCCATTAAATACTCGGGAAGTAAGATCTTTCAACTTCTCAGTTGGAATAAAGGGAAGTGCATCATGGCCATTAAATTTTTGCATGACCCCCTCCTGTAGACTGTTAGAAAGCTGGGCTTTGCTGAGGAATACAGAACAGTCACGATTCACTTCACAGTTCTGAGTCTTTCCGTTAGTATTGCCAAGGATTTCTGGTGCCTGCTTCATCTCTATGGACTTTACAACTTTCTGAACAGAAAGAGGGCTTTTTTTGATGCTAAATTCCATCCAGCCCAGAGGCTTCTGCTCTTAGACCACTATAGTATTTAAAAAAAAAAAAAAAAAAATGTAATCTTAAAAAAAAAAAAAAAAAGAAGAAAAAGAAACATATTACATTGAAAACCTAAGATCAGTATTGCCAACACCTCTATAGCTTTGTTGGGTTTGGTTTTGGTTTTTGTTTTGTTGTATTTGAAGCAATTTATATCTTATATAATAATTTAGACCACAGGAGGTAGTTTTAATATCACAAAAATGACACAGAATCACAAAATTATAAAGCTGCAAGGAAAGGCAATTAAGGAATCATTTTTGTAAGAGAGAACATAAAAGTCAGTAAAGGACAGCAAACTCTAGTCATGCAATTACCTCTTACAATCAATACGGCCATAACTTAATTTGTTTAATCATCCTTGAAACATAGATTACAATCTGCCCAGCAGTACAGTGTACACTTAAAAAAAAAAAAAAAAACCAGAATGTGCATGAAGCAGGTAACACAATCCCAAGCCCATAGAAAAAGTCAATAGGGAAGAGCTTAAAAGCAAAATAACACTAAGAGGAAAAGAACTCTTGGTTCCTTCTAGCACATCTGAGGACTCTGAGGCAAATTCTATGACACATTCAGTGTCACCTGGTTAGCAAAATTTTAAATCAGATCTTCCAACTCAACAGTATTAGCTCCAGGTTGACAAACAAACATAAAAAAAAAAGGAGTAAACAGCAAAGATACTCCAAGATCTGGTTTGTTTCAAGATAGTCCCCCTTCTCTTCCCCTACCAGCTCCTCGACAAAGTCTAAAAGTAATACTCATGACAAGAAACACTGCAGCTATACAAAATTTTATTTAGCTATCACCTGAAGATTAACTAATGGAGAACAATACTGCTGAGCCATAACATTCACTAATTTATAACACGCCAACATACTGCAAAGCTATATGAGGCCCAAGCACAGAGCAAGGCAGTTCTAGAAAGCCTTCTCTCTGCCTATGGCATGCTAATGCAGAATCATCACTGCAAAGTTACAGTCCCTAGTCAGAGACATCTAGTGAAGGAGCCAAGGTCCTAAAAAGGCAGCTAGGAATAAGGAACAGGCAGGTACCTAATCTGGCTGGAAAGACATCTACCTAGAGTACACCTTCACAGACTCCAACCAGACCACTCTAAGAAGAGAGAGATGAATAACATCAGAAACTAGGGGAAAGTTGTTAACAATAAGGACCAAAACCACTCATAAATGTATAGTAGCAGTTCTTGACTAGGGACAGTTTCACTCCCCACTTAGCCACATCTGGAAATACTTCTGACTGTCACCATTTTGGGGCTGTAACCAACATTTACCAGGTCGAGGTCAAGGATGCTGCTGAACATCCTACAATGAACCAGCCCCACAAGAAAAAAGTATCTGATTGAAAATGTCAATAGTACCAAGATAGAGAAAATCTGGTGTGCAGCAATATCAAGTTGCTGGTGTCATTATTTGCAGTTTTTACAGAAAAGCCAGACAACTGAGGGAAGGGACATAGGAAGAAAAGAGAACATTTAAAACAATGTTGGGCTGGTCCAATGGCCTAGTGAACAAGGAAGCCAGACCTCACAAGGTCAACTTTGAGATTAAAATCCTGGTCCCAGAAGTTTGAAAAGATACCAGATGTGTACTTCTGTGCCCAAATCCGGACAGGGTAAAAAAATGGAAAAGACTGACATGACCACATCCCACTGAGAGTGCTTTCTCCCTTTAACTCTCTCTCTCACTTTTTTTTTCTCTCTCTTTCTGCCTCTGGGAAGCATACACATCTTCTGGCAATTAAAAAATAAATTAGCGGGACCAGCAGATGGTGTAATGGCTATGTCGCTGGACTCCCATGTAGTCTATCGCGGTTTGAGTCCCGGACCTGGTGGTTTAAACTCATGCTGGGTGCATGTGCGTGAGTGCCCAAGATCCCAAGAGGAAAATGGAGGAGAGGGGACTGTGGTGTGGCCATCCGCACCCGGGAGGCGATTTCTCACTTTCTCTCTCTTTCTGGTGAGCGCACACACCCTATAGCAAAAAACGCCTCCAAATAATAATAATAATAATAAAATAAATTGGACCAGGGCCAGCAGATGGCATAGCAGTTACATCACTGGACTCCCACATGGCTGACCACAGTTCAAGTCCTGGACCCAGTGGTTTGAAAATCACGCCAGGTGTGGGTATGTGTGCCCAAGATCCTGGGAGAAGGAATTACAATGTGGCCATCTCCCCTGCAGGGGGTGACTTGTCACTTTCCCTCTCACTGTCTCTCTCCAGCAAGTGCAAGTGCTCTAAGGCAAAAACCTTAAATAAATAAAGGGAGAGAGGGAGAGAGAGAAAGAAAACAAGAAAGCAAGCAAACGAGCCAGCCATCCAGTGGCATGGTAGCTAAGGTAGTTCAATCCCACACGGCCACTGTACAGTTTGAGTCCTAGATGGGTATCTTGAAAACATCATATGCCCAAAATTTCAAAAAGAAAAATGAAGAAATGACTGTGGTGTGACCACATCCACATAGGGGATACCTTCTTTCTCTGTCTCTAGCAAGTGCACACACCTCTGACAAATATACATACATATATATATATTTTTTTAATAATCCCAAGATCTAGTTTAACTTCATGCTCACTAGACAATATTGTTTTGTGGGTTTTTTTCAATTTTTTCTCTTTTTTTTTTTTCTTTTTTTTTTTTTTTTGCTAGAAGGTGCATGTGCTCACCAGAAAGAGATAAAGAGGGAGAGAAGAATGGGAGGAGGAGGGAGAGGGAAAAAGCAACCCTCCATGGGAGGTAGTACTGCCACAATCCTCTTCTCCACTCTCCTTTTAGAACTTTAGGCATGCACACACCAAAATACATCCAAAAGAGTTTTAGAGTTGGCCTGGTGGTGCAGTAGTTAAGCACTGTGCATAGAAAGCCAGACCCCACATGCCTGATCTCAGTTTAATCCTGGCCTGAGAATCTTTAAAAACATACCAGGCACATGTGCATGCATACCCAAAATCCTTACAAAAAGAAGAAATACAGGAAGAGGGACTACGATCTGACTACACACTATATTATAGTGAGATATAAATTTACAGATTCGGGGTCCAGCCTAGGCCTAGTGGTTAAGGGAGCCAGATCCCACAAGACTGACAGTGCAGTTTGAAACTCAGAAGCTTGAAAAACATACTGTCCACAGGTGGCATGGAAGTTAAGGACTCCCACATTGCCAACTTCGAGTCCAGTCACAGACCTGGTGGCTTGCTTTCTCACTCACTCTACTTCCTATGACTATAGCAAATTCAAAAAATAATAAATAAAATAAATATTTTTAAAAAAGAAAAAAGTAAATCATGCTGGGAACATGTGCATACATGCACAAAATCTCAAAAGGAAGAAACAGGGGCCAGCATGTGACGTGGTGGTTAAGGGTGCTGGACTCCCACATGGCCGACACAGTTCAAGTCCCAGAACCAGTGGTTTGCTTTCTCACTTTCCCCCACTCTCTCTCTGGCTCTGTCCCTCTCTGGTCAAATTAAAATAAGTAAATAAATGAATAATGAAGTTGAATAAAATAATTATTTTAAAAAAGAAGAAGAAGAAACAGAGAAGGGTGTGTGACATGCTCTTACTCCATCAAGTGTTTTCTCCCTCTCTGGCCAAGTACATATATCCATTAGTAAGTTTTTAAAAAAAAAATTTTTTTAATTTACAGATTTAAGAAATGCAGGGGCCAGTAGATGGTTTGGCAGTTAAGGTGCTGACTCCTAAATGGCCAACTGTTGTTCGAGACCCTGACCTGACAGCTTGAAAATCATGCCAAGTGCATGTGCCCCAAATCCTGAAAGGATAATAGAGAAGGGATTGCAGTATGGCCATCCCCACTGGGGGATGATTTTTCTCACTTTCTTTCTCTCCATTTCTCTGTGTCTCTAGCAAGCCCATGAACCCTATAGCAAAAATCTCTCTCAAGTTGGGGGACCTGCAGGTGGTATGGTGGTTAAGGTGCTGGACTCCAACATGACTGATCATAGTTCAAGTCCCAGACCTGGCAGCTTGCTTTCTCACTTTCTCTTTCTCTGGTGAGCACATGTTCCCTATATCAAATTTAAAAATAATAATAAATAAAATTAACTAAATAATTCTTTCACAAAAGAAAAATTGGGACCAGCAGATGGCATCATGGTTACATCGCTGGACTCCCATACAGTTGACTATAGTTTGAGTCCCAGACCTAGCAGCTTAAAACTCATGACAGGCACATGTGTGTGTCCAAAATCATGAGAGAGTGGAGGAGAAGCGATTGTAGCATGGCCATCGCCCTGGTGGGTGATTTCTCACTTTCTATCTCTCCCTCTGGCAAGCACATGCAACCCATGGCAAAAATTTCTCTTAAAAAAAGAAAGAAGGGCCGGCAGGTGGTGTGGAGGTTAAGGGCACTGGACTCCCACATGGCTGACCACGGTTCGAGTCCTGGACCTGGTGGCTTGCTTTCTCACTTTCCTTCTCTCTCTTTCTCTCTGGTAAAATTTAAATAAATAAAGCTAAATAAAATAATTCCTAAAAAAGAAAGAAAGAAAGAAAAATCATGGTGTGTATACATGCAAATGTACCCAAGACCCCAAGAGGAGAATGAAGGCAAAGGGATTGCCGTGTGGCCACTCCTCTGAGGATTGATTTCTTACTTTCTCTCTCTCTGTCTTTAGAGAGCACATGTGCCCTCTAGCAAAAGCAATATGTGTGTGTGTGTGTGTGTGTGTGTGTGTATAA